CCGGCAGAGCATCTGGTGGGTTCGAACCATGCGCCTCTGGGATTGTAGTTGCAGTTCCTTGCCACTCGGCCACCAGAGCTCCCCAGAATATTCATCCTTTGCTGTGGGATAGATGGCGGATTTGAACTGCATGCTTTGGGGATTGCAGTGCAGCTTCTTGCCACTAGGCCACCAGAGCCCATACTGGTGGAGACATACTTTAACCCTTACCAAACCATGTGCTTTCTTTTAGGAGTTTTATAGTTTCAGTTCTTATATTTTGTCTTGGATTCATTTTTAGTTGGGTTTGAGGTGTGTGGTGGGGCCTGAGTTTCATTTTGTATGTGGAGATCCAGCACTGTTTACTGATGGGCCTCTTTATTTGCTACTGAATTGATAACACAGCTTGTCAAAAATCAATAGGCCATAGATATGTGGCTTTATTTTCTAAAGTTCTTATTTTCTTCCAATGGTTTATAATTCCCTTGGTATGATCCTTAAGCATTGGGCGGCTAGCCAAGTTGTTGGCAGTGCAGACCGGGCCATCCGCACCGCAGGAAGGAGATTTGGCAGTCTGTTCACATGGATTCACTTCCTGGCTCATGGTTGTTGAATCAGATGGATGCCCCGCTGACCTCCAGTGGGCTTTCGGAGGCTGTAAACTTCATAGGAGGAAAAGGTCCGTCTTTTTCCTATGCAGCAGCTGCTGGGTTTGAACCACAACCCTTTGGGTTGGCAGCACAACTTCTTACCCACTAGGCCACCAGAGAATTCCAGCCAATAACCCTGTGAGAGAGTTCTGTTCCGTCATATGAGTTCACTGTGAGTTGAAATTGTTCTTTCTTGAAGATTGTTTTGGTTATTTGGGGCCCTTGCATGCCGTATAAACCTGACGTGCTCTATTTCTGCTGAGAATGCTGTTGGGATTTTACTGGGAGTCCCTTGACTCTGTCCACCGCTCTGCGGACTCTTGCCCTCTCCTCAGCGCTGTGAATTCCAGGTGACGAATGCTGGATTTCTTGGTGTGGTTTTCCCCTCCTTTCACGTCTCTCAGCACTTGCCCCGTGATTGGTGTGCCATCCGTGTGCCCTCCCTAGTTTAACTTACTCCTGCGTGTTTTATCCTGTTGTCCTTGGGATTGTTTTCCCGACTGTGTTCGGCTTGTTTGCGGATGGTGTCTGGAATGACATCATCTTGTACCCCGCCACTTCCCTGAAATCCTTGATCCAGTTGAGCATTTCCATGAGGGATTCTCTGGCGTTTTCTGCTTACTGGTTTATGTTGTCCGTAAATGGGTGAGTTTTATTTCTTTATTTCCAGTTTGGAGGCCTTTTGAGTCTTTTTCCTGCTCAACTGATGCAGTGAAAGATTTGTTGATTTTATTGGTTCCAAGAGCCAAGTTTTAGTGTTTTACGTTTCTATTTCTTACTTGGTTTATCTCTGCTGTCATCCTTTGAAAATTCTTTTCATCTCATGGCTTTGGCCTTAATTTTCTTTTTCAAATTCTGCAAGGTGTGACATCATGAATCTGTGATATCCCCCCCCCCCCCCATCTTAAGGTACTGCATTACTCCCCCCCGAGGCGCGGCCCCCCCCCCCCCCCCGGTCTTTGGGTGTAATTAACACCCATAAATTTACTCCGAGCCTATACCTTCATTGCTTCCCATAGGCTTTGGTGTTGTGTGATTTCATTTTTGTTCATATCTAGATATCTTTGCTACCTGTCCGTTTGTCATGCTTCTCCACCTGTCTGTCAGTGTGCCATGCTCTTGTGGCCTGCGTGTCCCAGGGGTGCTGGCAGCTTTGCCACCTGTATACGTCGTATACCAACAGGGTCGCCCATGGTGGACCGGCTGTAGTGGAACTGCCAGATGAAGGCAGATAGACGAGGTGGGGAACAGGACCAGCCATCTACTTCTGAAATAATGAACCCCAGAACGAGGTGGACTGACGCAGTGTCTGTTAACGTTGGGCTCACATGTGTTAGGGATGGTGAGGACGACACAGGAAAGGACAGAGATCAGATCTGCTGGTCATGGGGTCACTGTGAGTCACGGTTGACTCACCCAACAATAGAACAACTGACAGAGTCTTTCGAGAGTTGTGCTGCTCATTCAAAGGTATATTTAGGACCTTGCTTGCTGCATAAAGTCAAGGATTGCAACCTTCAATACAGATTGAAGCTCAACATCAAGAAAAAGATTCTCACCACTGGGCCAATTGGCAGCATCAGTACAGATGGTGAAGAAATTGAGATTGTTAACAGTTGTAGTTTACTTGGCTCCACAGTCAGCACTCTTAGTACCAGCAGCCAGGAAATGAAGAGATGAATTGCATTGGGAAAGTCAGCTGTGAGGGACCTCTCCAGAGTACTGAAGAGCAATGGCATCAGGCTGGAGACTAATGTGCGCCTGATCCGGGCTATAGTCTTCTATATAAACTTTCTAAATAAACTTACTAGCAGTTAATCAATTCTGACTCAGAGAGACCCTCCATTGATGGCTGAGGCTGTAAGTTGTAACAAGAGGAGACTGCCCAGCTCTACAGCGTGTCGGCAGCCTGGGATGATTGAGCCTGGCCTCTCTGTTAACTTCTCAGAGGGTCAGTTTCCATCAGGACCATCCTCAATCCAAAACCAGTTCCTGTGAGATCGGGCCTGTCCCACAAGCTCCCACACCGACCGCTACTAATTCCAACACCAAGTCTACTAGGTCTGAAATTGTTGCAATAGCTACACAGTCCTCCCAGAACTGTAATCATAGTTACAGAGTTAGTCGGGAAAATTAACAGGTTACAGTTCAGGATGGCAAGTGGGATGTGTCCTATCAGGTTGGAGCCAACCTACAGTTGACCCTCCTGTGGGTTTTCAGAGGCAGTAAATAGTGTGAGGAGATTGCCCATCTTTCTCTGATGGAGCAGCTGGTGGATTTGACCCATGTTCCTTCGGATTAGCAACACAGTTACTTGCCACTAGGCCACCAGAGCTCCACTGACAGCAGGAAACAATTCCCAACTCCTCAGTCATGACAGTTTCTCAAGAATGCTTGCAGGCTCTTTGACCTTCGGCCTCATGCCTCAGGTCAGTGTTACGAAGCGCTCTTGGTCTTGGCGGTTACGACACCTTCCCTCAATCTTCCAACAAACTTGGATGAAGGTCTTGTCTCTGGCTGCGTGGGCCAGTCAGCTCCGTCCCATGTAGGTCACTGCTTCTCTGCAGAGGCTGCTGCTCTGCGTAAGTCCTGGTCTGACCGGTGCAGGAATCTCTGATGGCAAAGGACGTGTGCTGCACTGTGTGCTGCCTGCTGAGAGCGAGATTCATACCTGCACTGCTAATTTACACTTGTTGGGATGGGAAATATGGATCAACCCTGTAGAATATCATCCACAAATCTCTGAAAGTTCCCACCCACTCAGTGGGTCACCTTCAATGACTGTTGTTGTTATTGTTATGTGCTATCGAATTGCTTGCGACTCGTAGCGACCCTGTGGACAACAGCCCTAAACTGTGCTCTGTCCTGTGCCAGTCGCACCGTCTCCAACACACCCATCCTGATTACCCCAGTCACTGAATCAATCCACCTCCTAGAGGGTCTTCCCCTCCTGCGCTGTCCCTCCACCCTCCCAAGCATGACGTCCCTCTCATTTTGAAGAGTAAACCATACCACACCATCTTTCTTTGGCAGAGCCACGGGTGGATTAGAATTACCAGGGATGCTCAGCCTTTGGGGTGACAGTCCCCCCAGAGCCGCAACGGGGCTTGGTGAAC